GCTCTGCAAAGAAACCAATCAGCTTCCAGGTTTTATTGTCAAAGCTTCATTGAACAAGCTGAGGATAGAAGCTGATTGGCTGCCATGCATGTCTGCACCAGATTCTGACTGCTCCAGTTTTAGTAATCAACTCCTATGTGTCTGCCTGCTTTCAAACAATTAATGATACCGTTCTGACGAAGTCTGCGGTGATTGGCGGACGAAACGCGTCAACGTATTGACGTCACTACGCTCGGCGTCTTCACAGGGTGCGGCGCCCACGAGGCGGGAAGGAACGGCGGTGTCACAGCTCCCTGCTAGGTAGGCCCAAGACCTTTTGAGAACTACCAGTGGGCTATTATCACAGCGGTTCGCAAACGGCAATCCTTCAGGGAAATATATCTTCCACCGGTGGCAAGTTATTTAAAAGCTTACGGCTGTTGAGATTTACAGAGCCTACATGGTGAGGGCATGTTGTATGGGCCTAATTTACCCTGTATACTCGGGGAATTTTTTGGAAATCCTCTAAGGAGGAGAATCTACATATATATATATATATACATACGCTATCCTATTCAGGTATTTTTTGCTGTGACATAGCCACATCCTTATAAAACCGCAAATAACCTTCTCAAATTGAGCAATTTTTGGAAACCCTTTACTGGGTATATTAAATTCAGGTATCTACGGCCTGCCATATGCTATATACACACTATATGTGTTTGAAATCCACGCATCGTGTATACCTGGTTCCCCAGCCCCATATGCATTTTTGGAAAAGCATCAAGGACCTGATCTTAGTTCAAGTCGACAGGAGTCTTCTTGATCCTTATTGATGGTAATATATCCACATCTTTTATGTGTGTTTTGTTTTCGGGATTACCTGATGCCCATGTTCTACACATTTATTATCTTTTTTTATATATATCCTCAGAATCACTTGGTACTGTGGACCCTGTTCCATTTGGGGTGGCTATCCAGGAAGTCCCTACATTTGAGAGGCGGGTATGATAGTCTCACCTCTGAGAAGGTAACAGCAGCATCCATTGACTATTGTGGAGGGAGGCCTGGTAAATTTTGGATGTGATTTGGTTTCCATATTGCTAGATACATACCATGTATTTTTGTGTTCCAGCTTGTACATTCCAGGAGGTCCCTGATCTATACTGGGAACACACCTACTGAATATACGGTTCACACAAATATTAAGCAGGAAACCTACGGAAATCCAGGATAACTATTCCATTATTATACCACTTTGCCTTATATGGTGCTCTGTTGGCTAAGATGACCCTTAATTGAAGACGCTAAGTGTTTTTAAACATGATTTTATTTTTTTCATATGTACACCGTGCTTATGTTTACCTCCCCATGATCTATGTGATCAAATAAAGTATTGTTAAATTCATTTGAATTCATACTACTCCGCGTGGATCTTTTAGAAACCTTCTTTTTCAGATAGGCGTGTTCTTGTCACACTATCATATTGTTTAGTATGCTGTCCCCTGGGTTTATGTATCCACACTTGTACAAGTGAGTCGGAGAGGTGCTTATGACATTAACAATTAGTGTCATTTTTGGTGGCTTGCTTTTGCTTTATTGTTGTGAATGATACTGTGCAGCCTGACCACCAGCATCCTATCAACCAGCAGGTGGCAAGTTGTCATTTGATGGTGGTAGTGATGCCACCACTAAAGGAATGACTTCCAGTTGCAGCAGCTGGAGGTTCTGCGGGTGACCTGGCCAAATCTGGCCTCGTAGAGTACAAATCACAACACATAGGTCCAGTTGGTCATACAGTCACCACATCCCCAATGTATGTACGAGAAAGTACTAAGAAAAAAGAGTTTGGGACTTTTTCCGGTGCCGATACCCTGTGTTGCTATCCTGGTCATATCAGCTGTGCAGGCTTGCATAGGCTGGACTGGTCATACACATCGAGATTGCTGTGGCAGATTCTCGTATTTCACCGTCGATTCACTTCCGCTGGCGGTATTACTATCCATGTTCATTTGCTCTCATGCTGACTGGATTCCATCCTGGAGGTTCACGGCTACTGAGTGTCGTGATTTGTCCATGCCTGGCCACCAGCCTGTCTCCACCATCGCAGGTTGCTTGTGAAACATCTGACTCCGTGCATGTTGATGGTCACAGAGGACATATTCTTTTGGATTACATCCCAGATGGATTGGATAAAGCAGACTATCATATATTTTTTTTAGTCCACTAGTTACCTGATTGTTTGATTGGACTTTAGAGGCTATAGCCCTTTATACCTGATGTGCATGCTCTTCAGGTTCTACTGGTGTATTGCATTGCTCATGTATTGAGGTGATGTTCTATTGCAGTTGGTTTTTATCCACAGGTATATCCATTTTTGGGCTAGTGTCATACCTCAGCTCCCTTCTTTTCCTTCTAGGGAGGGGGCTTCTGTGGGGGTTGGTTTGGGTGGGTCTTGGGAGGTGGGTTGGTTGGGTGGGTCTGGAGGAGTTGTTTGGGTGGGTCTGGGAAGGGTTGTTCGGGTGGGTCTGGAGGAGTTGTTTGGGTGGGTCTGGGAAGGGTTGTTCGGGGTGGGTCTGGAGGAGTTGTTTGGGTGGGTCTGGGAGGGGTTGGTGTGAGAGAAGCATTGGGGTACCTTGAGAGGTGCTCCCGGAGGTTTGTTTTTGTTTTAATTTGTTGTTTTTTTGTGAGGTCGGAGGGTTGTTGAGGGTGGTTGGGGATCTTGGGAGGTTCCGGGGCTGTATGTTTTCTTTGGGGGGGTTAGTTGGGTTTGCATCAGGGAGGAGCAGGTGTGGAGTGCACACAGGGGGTACGTTTTACCATCAGTTATGTCCCCCGTGGGAGGTCCTTTTCATGTCGGGGGTCCTAATGATTGGTAGTGAGCATCAGGTCTCCGATGCAATGACATTTTACTTTGTATGTTTTCTATGAATAAATACATTTTCAGGTTAGCCTTTTAGGTATGCAGCCTATTTTCTTTTTCTTTGGGTTTTTGTAGGTAACAAAATCCCCAGACAACATGAAGAAGTTAAAACTGACGTAAACCATCACTGGCTGCACAATACCCCCAAAGTAGCACCACCCAACCTTGCATATATCATCATATGGTATGGTCACCAAGTCAATAACTGTAGTAACAAAATGTACATATAAATCTCAGTAAGAGGGGGTGCAAATTCCCAACGAGTTTCACCCTTAGGCTTATCCAGGGCTTCAGGGGGTGCAGTATGAAGATGGCCGAATAAGGACAGCAAAACTGAGTCAGTAAAGCAATTTTGTACAGTGTGTCAAAAGGCATGGAGGGTCAAAGGTGGAACCAAGGTTTAGCTGGCACTGGGGATTGAGCGCCAGGCAACCAGGGATAGTACTCAGAGGGGAGGAGAAAATAGGGCTCCTTAATCACATATACCTTGTTCAGAGAAATGGCAAAGAGTGTAGATTCTTAGAACAAGGGCAAAGAAAACTTCACATAAGGCCATGTGTGCCACCATTCTACGCTACACGGGGTATTCCTCCAAACGCCATGCCGATAAGTATACCATGTAATTTGCCTGCTCAGAAAACTGCAGAAAGCTTGATTTCTATTTGATCTCATGATTAACCTAAGCCCAAAGCCCTAATCTAGAGAAAATGTGCGGTGGTAGTCATGGTCATTAACATCCTAGCATAGGTGTGATTGGAGGCCTCAAGCCGTAATGTACTGCCAGCACCCAGCCAGGCCTTGCCAGATCACATCTGTAATGGAACCGACCCAGACAGTACTTCCATTAAAATATCGCTTCCCTGTCCGAATACCGACCACAGACACCGCAGCCAACCAAACAAGACTAGACGACACCAGTCCTGAAGTAAACCAGGAGGTAGACTAGTTTATTTTAACACGGATACAAAATATATACACTCATGGGACAGTCCCCCCCTCCCTGCATAATGACACAGGGTGGGGAAATCTACATTTAGCAACAAGAGACACACCAGCAAACAGTCCCATCAGGAGGAAGGGCTGCAGGAGACACCCCCCACCACGGCAATACACACAAGCACATACATCCCATAATAGTTTGCTCCCAAGCAAGACACACAATAGAACAATGGGATGCAACAACATAACACCAAACAATCAACACAACCCCCCCCACCCCTATATTAGGACAGATCACCCTGTACCCCTAACAGGCACAGGGTGGCTTACACATAAGAGGGATATGGGGAGCTGAGACAGGGGTCTCCCCCCACCTCTCCAAAGTGAGCTGTGTTCCATGGGCCCCCCACCCAAAGTGACACCCGTCACAACATCCTGGAACTCTATGGACATTTCCTAGCTTTACAAGGTCCCTACAGTAAATATATAATTATATATATAACATGGCTCTGGGAGTAATAGTAAAAAACAAAGTGAATATTTTTAATTCGTATACTCTTGGACCTTGCTGTACACATCCTCAATATAGTCTATGAGTATGTATGAATAGCCTCATCATCTTAGTGCTTGGATCTGGCAAGCCTCGTCCATCATTCGTTCAGATGCTTCATCTTAAGTACAATGCAGTTTACATTGAAAATTGTTACTTTTATTACTACAATGCATGTGATGAGGGAATTGGACGCCTTAGTACAGCGGTGTCAGGCATATGGCCCACTTAGGGTCTCCACCTTCATTGGGCAAAGGGGACCTCTAGCTTGCTGCAGGGAATATGACCAGCAGCTAAATATAGATGTTGGTGGTGGGTGGAAGCCAATGTTGGTGGTGGGTGGAAGCCAATGTTGGTGGTGGGTGGAAGCCAATGTTGGTGGTGGGTGGAAGCCAATGTTGGTGGTGGGTGGAAGCCAGCCCCAGGTAGTGATTTAATGGTGGTGGGCGGGCGGGATCATCACGGTTGTCATGTGTTAACCCAAGAAAGGCAATGATCATCTGTTGGATAAACTGTGAAGGACAGGTGGTTGGGATGGGCAGGAATCATCATAGTGATGGGCACATCAAGGGAATTGGCAGTGAAGAAGGTTCAGCTGAGCAGCGAATTTCAATAAGTAACTGCCTGAGTTTTACCATTTCCGGCTACCATTTGTTGGGAGAACTGACAACCAGGAGGACAAACATACAACATCTTCACAGATTCTGTCACTTTATTGAGGGTTTTGATATTTATATAAGTTTTCCAGACTTGCTCCCGAATCAGTTTTGTCTTCACGCCATAAATAATTGGATTCAGCATGGGTGGGACTAGAAGGTACGTATCGGCTAGAATTATATGAACATAAGGTGGGATCCTTCTACCGCCATACCGGTGGGACAGGAAAGTGAAGAGGGCCAGACCATGAAAACTTAGAAAGACGCACAGATGGGGTATGCAGGTATTAAAGGTTTTCAGTCGGGCGTCTTTGGATGGAAGGCTGAAGACAGCATGGAAGATGGCACAGTAGGATACCAGGATAAACAGCAGGTCTACTCCTAGAATCGTAAATGCCACAGCTAACCCCAAAGCACTGTTTATTCTGATGTCGGCAGCAGCAAGCTTCACAATCGCCATGTGCTCACAGTAAGAATGGGGCACAATGTTGGTTTTAAAAGCTGGAAAGGTCTTGATCAAAATCATGCAGGGACCTAACAAAGTGACCACTCTGACCAGTAAGACAATGACCAGCTTGAGGATGATGGTGTTGGTCATTATGGACCCATATCTGAGTGGTTGGCATATGGCAATATAACGGTCAAATGACATACCAAGCAACAGTCCTGACTCTAAGCTGGTGAGAGAATGGAGGAAGAACATCTGGAGGAGACATGACTCAAAACCAATGTGTCTCTTCTGGAACCAAAAGATAGACAGCATTTGCGGGGCAATGCTTGTGGACAGAAGGGCATCATTGGAGGCCAGCAGAGAAAGGAAAATAAACATAGGCTTGTGGAGGCCAGAAGAGGCTGAGATGACAGTCAGGAGCATCATGTTTCCAAGCAAGGCCAGAACATAACATAAGCAAACACCAGCACCAACCCACTTATACGCTCCCTCTAGTCCGGGAATTCCAACCAGGATGAACGAGGTGGGATAGAATGTGACATTGACTTTGATGTCTGGCATTCCTCTGCTGATCATCTTCTACACTGAGGTCCACAGAACTCTATGGAGGATGAATATATTGTACCTAATGGGATAGAAGCCTTAGAATTACAAATTAAATATGAATAGCACTCGGAAAATATGTATTTATATGAATAAGTGAACATTTACTATGAATTGACTCATAACAGGTTCACTTTTTAGCAGACACAATAGGCATCCTGTTCTCTGAGCTCTTCTGCTGCAGGAACCACAAAAGGTATTTAGAACGTTTAGGACCTTTACCTGTCTGTCACAACATACCTCCCAAAATTCTGAAAGGACAAAAAGGGGCATATTTTAGTAGGTAGGCAAAAGACACGCCCCCTGCCACTCCCCCAGTTACAGGGTTTGTGATTATTTAATATGCAAACAATGATTGGTTACAGCCACGTGTGTGTTTCCAACCACTATCCTTCCAATCTGCTGGCTGTTCAAAATGACAAATTCTATAATCTCGAGGTTGGATGGCAGGTTTACTAAACTATAACACTTTTGTCACTGAAATAGCAGATTTTATAGAGATTTATACATTAGACCAAAAAGAAACAACTGGGGATCAAAGAGGGACGACTGCGGATCAAAGAGGGACAAAGAGGGACGACTGAGGTTCTGAGGTTCAAAGAGGGACGACTGAGGTTCAAAGAGGGACGACTGAGGTTCAAAGAGGGACGACTGAGGTTCAAAGAGGGACGACTGAGGAGAGGGAAAGAGGGACGACTGAGGAGGAAAGAGGGACGACTGAGGAGGAAAGAGGGACGACTGAGGAGGAAAGAGGGACGACTGAGGTTCAAAGAGGGACGACTGAGGTTCAAAGAGGGACGACTGAGGTTCAAAGAGGGACGACTGAGGTTCAAAGAGGGACGACTGAGGTTCAAAGAGGGACGACTGAGGTTCAAAGAGGGACAACTGAGGTTCAAAGAGGGACAACTGAGGAGGAAAGAGGGACAACTGAGGTTCAAAGAGGGACGACTGAGGTTCAAAGAGGGACAACTGAGGAGGAAAGAGGGACAGAGGGATCCATCATCTAATTGAGCTTAAGTCCTGTGGCACCCAGAGGGATATGGTGTGGAGGGATGATGGTGAAAGGACAATGATGGAGAGATAACAGTGAAGGAATATGGTGGGAGGGATGATGGTGGAGGGATTGAATGGTGGAGGGATGATGGTTGAAAGGACAAGATGGAGATAACAGTGAAGGAATAATGGTGGACCTCAATGATCTCTTATGGGGATGGTGGGGGATGATATTTGAAAGGACAATGATGGAGAGATAAACATGAAGGAATAATGGTGGAGGGATGATGGTGTTATCTTTTGACAATGAGGTCAGAGATAACATTTATTAATGATGGAAAAAGAATCACAGTTTCCAGGATCAATGGTTGGAGGGAGGCATGTGTGTCGATCCTATTGGAGCTAGATAACAATAGAGGGTCCACCGGGGAGAGATCGTGACGTCAGAGGGATACGCGTTATGATGAAAGGATACCGGTGGCATTCGCCCCTGATAAGGGTGGAGGGACTGCATTGATGGAAACTGAGTGGCCGTTTTCCTATTAATAAATAGGCTCTGACCCCTCAGGAAAGATGGGGCACCATTTGATTGGGGAGGGATGAGTGGAGGGATAACGATGGAGGATAACGGGAGAGGGATGAGGGTGGAGGGATGACGACGGAGGGATAACGGGGGAGGGGATGAGGTGGAGGGATAACAATGGAGCTGGATAACCATGGAGAGAGGATAATGATGGAGGAGATAACAGTAGAGGGATAACGGGGCTCTGCCTAAGGATGAAGGCCACCATTTGGTGGAGAGATAACTGTGGAGGGAAATTGATGTGAAAGGATATCGGTGGAGGGATAAGGGTGGAAGGATTAACGGAGGGATCGGGGGGAGATGGAGGGATAAGTGTGGAAGGAGGGATGAGGGTGGTGGCAATAAGGCAGGAGGGTATTGGGGGAGGGATGACGCAGGTGGAGGGCAAAGAATGCCCAGGTGTCCAGTGAGGGACGATGGAAGGATAACAAGGAGGTAGAGGCACACCTAAGGAGCACGGGAGGGATAATCTCACCTGGGACTGGGATTAATAGGGTGAGGGGATAAGGGATTGTTATCTATTATTTTATTTGATTTATGCACTATAAGAGTGCCTTGTTTTGAAGCAGGGATCACCCATATTGCAGGAAGTTTGAAGGTAGTGGAGCGCACCGTTGATGTATGTTTAGATAAATATCATATATGGCGGCAGGGGAGCAGTGCGCAGCACTAATAGTGAGTGGGAGGGATGGATATCTCACGATGGAGGGGATTAACAGGGAGGGATGAGGGTGGTAGGCATTAACGATGGAGGATATAACGGGGAGGGATGTTGAGGAGGTTCTAACACAGAATGAGGTGGAGGGATATACGATGTACAGGGATAACATGGTGACGTCTAGGGATGAGGGTGGGGGATAACGTTGGAGGGGATCACGGAGAGATGCAATAGATGAGGGGGGGGGAGGGATTAACGAATTGGAGGGGATATGTGGAGAGGAAGGGGGTCCTGAGGGTGGAGGGATAACGATGGAGGGATAACGGGAGGTTGGGGTTCAACGAACAGGGCCATGAACGGGAGGGATATAGGGTGGAGGGATAATGATGGAGGGATAACGGAGAATGATGGAGAGATAATGATGGAAGGAATAACTGGGGAGATCTCATGAGTGGTGGAGGGATAATTATGTGGGGATGATGGTGAAAGGGGGAGGGATGGAGGGAACAGGAGTGGAGGATAACGATGGATGGGACTTAACAGTGTGGAATAAGGTGACCCAGGGATGGAGTTGATAGTGATGGAAGGATAACGAGTGAAGGAAGATAATGGGAGAGGGATAATGGAGGGTGGAGGGACAAACGATGGAGGGATAACAGTGAAGGGATATTGGTTGAGGGAATGATGGTGAAGAGGGATAACATTGAGTGGAGGGATATGGTGTCGAGTGGATAATGTGGAGAGAATAACAGTAAGGAATAATGGAAGGGAGGATGATGTGTGGAGGGGATAGGGGAGAGGGTGGAGGGATAATGATGGAGAGATAAGGGAAGGGAAAAGGTAGAGGGGATGATAACGTAGGAGGATAAGGGATGAGGGGGGATAACAGGAGAGGGATGGGGAAGGGAGGAGGTGAGGGTGGAGGGATACATGGGGTGGTGGAGAGGGTTGATGGGGTGGAGCGGAGAATAACATGGGAGGGATAATGGGGTTTGGGAGGGGATATGGGATGGAGGGATAATGACAGGGGAGGGATAAGGAGGGATGGGGGGGGAGGGTTTGTGGGGATGTGAGGATAACCGATGGAGGGATAATGGGGAACTGAGGGATGGAGGTGGATGGGGATAAATGGGAGGGGTAATGGGGAGGATGAGGGGTGGAGGGATAAAGGGTGGAGGGATAACAATGGAGGGTGAGGAGCGATAAAGTGGAGGGGATAAGGGTGGAAGGATAATGATGGAGGGATAACAGTGGGGGGATGAACGGGGATGAGGGTGGAGGGATAACGATGGAGGGATAACAGGGGAGGGATAATGGGGGAGGGATGACAGGAGGGATATGATGGAAGGATAACAGAGAAGGATGAAGGGGGATATGAGGGTGGAGAGATAATGATGGAAGGATAATGATGAGTAGGAGGGATATAAGGGTGGAGGGATAAGGGATGGATGGTGATCGATTTGGGGGGATAATTGGGATAACGATGAGGGTGTGGGTTGGTTGGAGAGGGATAGGGGGAGGGATAAGTTTGATGGAGGGATAACTGATGATGGAAGAGGATGATAAGGGTGGAGGAGATGATGGATGGAGGGATAACGGGAGAGGGATGAGGGTGGAGGGATAACGTATGGAGGGATAACGGGAGAGGGATGAATGGTGGATGGGATAAGATGGAGGGATAAAGTTGGGGGAGGGATGAGGGTGGAGGGATAACGATGGAAGGATAACGAGAGGGATGAGGGTGGAGGGATAACGATGGAGATATGGATAATGGGGGAGGGATGAGGGTGGAGGGATAACGATGGAGGGATAACGGTGGGAGAGGGAATGAGGGTGAAGGGAGGGATAACGATGGAGGGAATAACGGGAGAGTGATGAGGGTGGAGGGATAACGAGGAGGATAAGTGAGAGGGATGAGTGGTGGAGGGATGATGGAGGGATAACGGGAAGGGATGAGGGTGGAGGGATAACGATGGAAGGGATAATGGGGAGAGAGGGATGAGGGTGGAGGGATAACGATGGGGGATAACAGGGGATGTTTGAGGATGGAGGGATAACCGAATGGGGAAGAGCAGTGAGAGAAGATCGGATGGAGGGATAACGATGGTAGGGATAATCGTAGAGGATAGGGTGGATGGATAACGATGGGTTTAGGATAATGAGAGGGATGAGGAATAATGGAGGGATAACGTATGGGAGGGATAGAAGGAGGATAGGGATAGGAGGAGTGGAGGGATAATTGGAGGAGATAATGATTTATTAATTAAATGAAGGATGAGGGTGGAGATGATAACGATAGGAGGGATAACAGGGGAGGGATGAGGGTGGAGGGATAATGATGGAGGTGATAACGGGAGAGGGATGAGGGTGGAGGGATAACGATGGAGGATAACGGGAGAGGGTATGAGGGTGGATGGATAACGATGGAAGGGATAATGAGGGTGGAGGGATAAGATGAGGATAACGGATGAGTGGGATGATGGAAAGGTGGAGACAAAGATAAAAATGTTGGAGGGGATAACGGGAGAGGAATGAGGGTGGAGGATAATTAATGGAAGGATAACGGGAGTGGGATGAGGGGGGGTGGTTGGGATAACGATGAGGGATAACGGGAGAGAGGGTATGAGGGTGGAGGATAACGATGGAAGGTGGTTCAATCGGTTAACAGGGAGGTGATGAGGGTGGAGGGAATAACGATAGGAGGGATAACAGTGGGAGGGATGA